GGGGAGACATGGATGCACTACAAAGGCTGTTTAATTCAATTGAAGAAATTTGATAACAAAAAAACTGCTCTCAACATCTAACGACACTGTCTCCAAAATATCTCTTATTGTCCCGACCCTTATAGCGATCGACGAGTTCAAGTCACCCAAAAATAGACCATTGTCACGTTGCATTATGCCTAATGATGAAACAACAAGGAAATCGCCTCTTCGAAGAAAGAGGGAAAAATTCCGCTCGATAAGCTGAAAATCGGAAACTTCAGCTTAAATGTCGTCGCTTTCCGTTTCATATCATTTTCTCTTTTTGGTGCCTTTTCATGTGTTTTAATGAGTTTCCCGTCACAGGGCACTTACACTGTGAACCGGTTTATTGACTATATGGAAGTGTAAGTGTGCTGTAAATACCGTCAGCCTTTTTTCTCTTTCTTTTCCTTTACCCGGTGAAGGAAAATAAAAAAAAAAAATGCCGCAAATAATGAGATTAATATCAGCAAGTTTATGTTAAGTGTGGTCCTTGAAATACATACTTGAAAATATGTTTCACCAACAAGTGTAATTTACATTGTAGATGGCTGTTCATTATCGTGGTAGTGATAGTCTATTGAAATTGTTCATTCTGACATGCGCCTTTCAATAATTGCAGGTTTTGTGCGGTGTGTATGTGTGTGTGTCACGTCTGCTGGTTCAGAGAACTCCACTCACAACCCTTGTCGTGTTTTAATCGATGTGATTTCCATGTACCTGAATACCAAGACAGGGAATTGCTTAAAAAAATCGAATCGCTTTCAACACCCCCTGATTCGTGTCGTCAGAAGATCACCTATAGGTTTGTTTTCCCTGCCTGATCTGACGTCCCTTCAGAAGCCAGTTTTCTTTTTAATGGCGGTGCGTATGGCGAAGACGAGCACAACAAATTGCACGCCACCCCGAGAGCAATCGGCAAACAAAATCGTTCGGAAATGAAAGCCATTAAAACAGATTTGCATGTGTATGAGCACCCCACACTAAATAAGTCATCAATACCGCACGTTTTGATTGCTGCCCCTGATAACATTCAAAAGAAGAAATAATGCCAATTTTGTACGCTGTACTCCATGTGGTGTACTAGAAATGAGTACCAATTATACTGGGAAGTGTATACCATTGGCTCCGATCGAGGTAAAAAAAAATAAATGTTCCCTGCGTTTCTACCCACCGGGACCGGAATCGATCTTTGAGCTTTCTTCGTAAGGGGGGATAGGTGAAAAGCCTCCCCCGTAGAGATTATTCCGGGTTTCTTTACATAACTCGGCGGTAATTACATCTGCAGAAACGGGGAGTGAATGTGATCAAGTCGTACTCATGGAGAAAGCATATTCCCTCCTATTCAGCTATTAATATTTAGCGTTTTCTGCTCAATGTTTAGCCACAATAGTTAACCGTACTAAACGCATAAATTTGTTTTCGACATGCTCTTACGGTTCGGCGAATTGCGTTTTGTTATCATACTAACTACAGCGCTGGAAACACATAAGTATGGTATCATTGAAAGTAGGATTCCGGAAACGCCTATACCTCATTATCTGTAGTGTGACTTTCTTCCTACGGAATCAACTGTCAGTTGACAAGCACCACTAACGTATCTGGGCTCCATTTGCGTGGCAATAGCCTATCGGCAAGCAAATCAACTTCAATTCAAACAACGTGTAAGGGCCATCGTTAAGTTGTTTGTTTGTGTGTTTGTTATCTCCAATATTCTTGAGCAGTTGCTGTCAATATCATCATCGATTGCCGCCGATTAGCCGTTTAGTAGTACTCTTGTTCATTTGTTTGTGTTATCTCTAGTTTTAGAAGCGTTTTCTGTATTACGGATGTGATTAGAGTCAGATTGGAGTACTTTTCCTATAACTTCTGGGTCATTTTCCGTATTTTGTATGAAATATTTTAATGAAGACGGTTATTCAATTAATTTAATTTTCACAAAATTGTTAATTTCAGCAGATGTTTGAAGATTATTCTGCGGTGGAGCTGAAAACAAAACATGGACATGCCACACTAATGGTATTGTCTTCAGCATGTACTTCAGAGAAAAGGGACGTTCCAATTACACATTATGTGTGTAATACTAGTAGTTATGCCTGCCAATCTTCGAATTAAAGTTTCCACGTATACGAATATTTCTAATTCAGAACATATTTTCTCAAAAAACTAGCTGTTTCGTAAAATCGATTCAAAAACGACATCAATGTTATGAGAACGCGGTAACTAAGCTCTCTGACGACGACGATGATCGGCAACTCTACACAATGTTCGATAGAATATAGTGTATAATATATTTCATAATGTAATGAACATGATAAATCAAAAATGCAGCGGGTAGCAAATAGTATCTTTCATGGAAATAGACCTGCGGAGTCCGGTTAAATATAAACAAGACGCGCTGCCGTATCTAATGAAATTAGACATGGTGCACACAGTGTCTATTTCATGAATCACGGCCTCCCTGTGATCGCTAACAAATCATCTCCGGCGTTTTCGTACAAGCAATTACTTATCGAACCCGTCGTCCGAGTGACGCATGTTTTTTAATATAAGCATTGAACTACTGCAATATACGCGTCACTCAGCACATTTTTTTTTTGGGGGGTGAGGTGGGTTGGTCTGATGGGTGGTGGTGTCGGTGGGTGAGGGGGATTAGTGTTGGTGTGAACCCCTTCAATAATTTTCCCCAAATTGTTATTCCACTCTTCGGATAATTTCACATTCTTGATATGAGCGGATATTATAAACAAACGTGGCGATATTCATGTTGATGGATTGATATTTTAGCTGAGGGCCGAACTTCATCTTAGGGTATATGATGCCTGTATATAAAAATTCACCTTGTTTGACCAGGTTAAACAACGAGTTACAATTAGTGCTTTAGTGAAGTCTCGTGTTTGTCCCCGGGGTACACGGTTGATACACTGGACGATACTCGCTCGCTAACATGATACAAATTTCGACTGACGGTGTGTTTGTTCAACTATTTCAAAAATATAAAAGGTATGTGAATCTTACTAAGAACTAACGATTGACCTCTGTTCTAAATTAACAAAATATATCCAGTTTATCATTTTAACTACTCGTTAAATCTCGGACTGGCTGCATCTGCGGTGTTCATCAAATTATAGCCATAGTACTGCCGACGAACCTTTCCTGATTTGGCCGCAAAATATCAACATTCTTTCCGTTTTCAATAAGGTGAATGCCATGCGAGGGAATGACTCAGACACGCACTATGACACTCGCGGTCGACATTTCAACCAATTTTGTTAGGAGATTACAACCAACAAATTTCTATACCCACTGTGTGTTTTTTTTTTTTTTCGCAAACTCATCCCCATCACGGTAATGCGTTTGAATCTAATACCACCCACCGGTATCGCTGGTCAAGCATACCTATTGATTGTGGCATCTCAATAACATTATTTCGATTCCCAACAGGTCCATCAATCCGTTTACCAAACACATTCAGAGCGAAATGGATTTAATCGTGTTTGCCCACACGTAAAATCCTCTACTTCCTTCTCTGGTTAGTAGTATGCAAGCAGAATCCACACAATTTTTGAGTATCGCAGTCAACAAAAATCTTGATTGCTGTTTTTCGCCCAAACACTGAATGACAGCGTCAGTGTAACTTTACGGAAATGCTCATTTGAGGCGGGAACTCATTAAAAAATTAAAATCTTCCATGTAATGAAACCTCAAACGTTTACTTCTCGTGCATACTGACGTGGACCCTCCTTCGATGAAACTTTAAAATAAAACACAGAACAGCGATTGTGGTTTGTTATTACGCTACCCAACAAAATACAGCCAATTTACTTGCGTCCCCCGAGGGACAGTATAAACCGGTTCCCCAATTGGTGTCCCCTGGTACCAGCAACTCGTGCCTGTGCATGTCCCGTCGCTTGCTCAAAGGCATTCGCGGTCCCTATCCCTGACAAAGCCAATCAACGATTGAATGGACCGAGTCACTTTCCGTGTGAAAGGGGACACAAATATGTTGTTTGAGAAACAATTTCTTTTGGTGTTTTGGAGACAATTGAAAGGGGGTAGCAGTACTCCATCGGACAATGGGCAGACAAGGTGATCACTTCTTGAAGTCACACATAACAGTGGTGAGCCGTTTTATCCGAGTAGTCACTGAACAAAAAAACACACGCAATCTACAAACGTATACATGGCTCTCCAATTAGAATGCTAATTTTTATTATGAGAGGCGATAACAGAAAAAAAAAAATCATTAGCAATTGAAACGCCTTTTGTTTCTATTCACAGATGGACTCTGTGTTTTTTTTAATTATCCTTCATTGGAATAAAACAAAAATCTGGTTGTCGAAATAACAATGCTACATGATACAAGTTGTTGTTTAGTTTAGACCTGTATACCGACATGAGCTACATCATGTACAATGGTGCCTCCAGTTGCACTGTCCGCACCTTTATCTAGCGCTACATGTAACTCAACTTACTTTAAAAAGAAATATATAAAATATAAATTTCGAGATATCTCCTTAATAATATTCACATAAATTTTGTTAGAACTAGACAAGTTTTGAAACGTTAAAAACGAAATAAAAAAAAACACATCATCGATCTCTTTAATACACATTTCAGATCATGTCTAGAACGAGGACAAATGAAAGGGTGTATGATCCGTTCCGTAAAAATCGTTGGCTTCTAAAATGAACCAATTACGTACATAATACTGGAAACAGAAAAAAACCGTCTTAGTTTAAAAACGTGTTGTAAGTAAACAGTCACTGCGAGTAACAGCCGTGAGCAATGGTCCATGTGTTATAACATTTGAATAACGTTAACTAAGATGGCGTCCTTCTCTCTCTACAAGTGTTTATATTAAACTAGCCAGTCTTTTTAAATAATAAAGTTCGCACTGTACACAGACAACGAATAAAATTGGTACGTACATACGTTCTGTCCTAGGACTCCGATCGTAAACGTTTTTTTTTTTTTACTGCCCGTTTTTCAGTTCACAATAACGCATACAAATCGTCTTTGACAATCGCTGTAATGGTGGTGTTGGCCGGCACGAGTAGGTAACATGTCGGATTCTCACCAGGGCCAACTTGGTTGTGCGAGGGGCTGTGTGAACTGCGAATTGCAGCTTGTGTAATTATAACTGGACGAGTAGTTCGGGTAATGCTGCATAGACTGCATAGACTGCTGCATCGACTGCAACTGTTGCATATGTTGTAAAGGTACCGAGTCCTGGTGTGGCTTGTTCATGACTGTATTCATACCGCCGTTCATGTTGGCGTGGCACGGTTTGCCGTCCCTCACGAGCACCGGTACAGCCACCCGCCTCGGCGATGGCAATGGATTCATGTCCAACCCTTTCTCCTGTCGAGCACGCTTGAGCTTGTACCGATGATTCTGGAACCAAATCTTTACTTGTGTTGGCGATAGTCGGATGATACTAGCCAGGTGTTCCCTCTCTGGTGCGCTCAAGTATCTCTGTTGTCGAAACCTCCTTTCGAGCTCGTACGTCTGTGCCTTGGAGAACAACACTCTCCGCTTCCGTTTCTTGGGTTGGTCGCCACTGTTCGAGTTCGGCGAATCGCTGATATTTGAATCGGGCGAAGATTCCCCAGAAACAGTGCTGTTCGCGTTTGGCGTGGACACATCGTTGTTATTATTAGTCGTGTTATTTCCGCTGGTGTTATTAGTCGTCGGAGTTTCGCTGTTCTCACGATTATTCGTTGTATTATTATTACTACTGTTCGTATTGTTATGATGGTGGTGATTATTCGTCTGACTCAGTGCTATGAATAAAAAATCAAATCGAATAAACAGTTTAATAATAATAAATAATAAGAGTTGATAAGTATTGATATTGGTGTACCAATACACAATTGAAAGACTTCACAGATTCGTTTATGGCAACGTGTTGTACAAGAACTAACAAGTCTCATTACAAATACGAATCTAAACTCATTATCAAGACATACTATAGTCTGATATTGAAGTATATTTACAAGTAGAACACCCTTCAAAACCGATATAATCTTTCTCGAATCTTGATTTAAATTCGTTAGGTGGCTATTTTTAGCTGACCAACACTCGAGAAAGCCGATAATACAAGAAACACGTCGCCAAAGTACCTGGATAACCGGAGGATGGGAAAGAGAATTTACGTCTCTTGGACTAGAGTACTTACATGAATATTGCATTGGTTCCTGTGAGCCCTGGCTTTGTAGCCATCGTGTGTACGGATTATCGGTGTTGTCAAAATAGGACGGCAGTGAAGGTGTCTGTTGCGTGGTCGCTCCTGTCGAGTTCACCACCGCGTTGCTCGCAGATGACGAGTTCCTCAGGGTACCAGTGATGTTGTTCAGCCCCAAACCAGTGTTATGGTGGTGATGATGGTGGTGGCCTCCAGATACCAAATCTGCTGCGTGATGTTTTAAGCTCGATAGTCCCTGTGCGGTTATAGCACACGAGGGTTTACCCTCCGGCATGTCTAGTATATCTTTCACAGTAAAGCTAGGCTTAGCGTTCATGATAGCAACGCCAGTGTCATCCATGAGTACGTTGGTCGAGTATTTTCTGTAACAAGAACACACAAATTATGTTTGGTTGTTTTGTTTTTCTCTTGAAGAAAAAATATCCAGTACACAGTCACGGTCGCGACGTCGGACGGTGAGCGCCGCTTAATACTGTCCTTGTTTTTATCGGGTTAATATTTGAAGCATTAGGGTCTACGGAACAGATGCAGGGCTTCTCCTTCGCTCGGTGATATTTGCTCGTGGACTGTGTGTACTATACTATACAGTCGCTGGAGGAAGTTTGCTTTAGTACGCTGCGAACACACCTGGGGGGTTCGGTGGGCGGTGCTCAATACTGTATGTACTTAGAGACCAGACATGTGACGTGACAAATTCGTCACTTGGCCACAAACTGGCGTTTGATTGGTGCGTGTTTCGGCTATGATTAATTTCAAGTGACAATTAATTACTCAGAAAGGGGCGGTGCCTATTGTCCCAGACAAGAGCGATATCGCTCAAGATTAGCACCTGATAAAGGAGGCTGGATAAAACATATACAAAGTGGAACAAAGTATGTGTGAATGCTTCGAGAAAGAAAGGCTTCGCCGATTAGGTTACTGTGTTTCAGCCCAGAAAACACAAGTCGCTAGCTGTGCGGCAACTTTGCAGCCCCCGTTTACTCCCTCGGACGCACATGCAACTGCGAGTACAGGGCCAAACACTCTGAGCTTGAAACAAAACACAGAGCTGTCAATATGAATGAAAATGTCGCTGTTTATTATTCATCAACTCAATAAATATGCAGTTAACACTCGAACACGAATTTGAAAGCTTCACAAACATGCTTGTGTCCGTCCTTCCGCGATTCACAATTGTAACCACCCAATCGTCAGTAGAGTAACTATCATCATTGGGGAAAATATTCAATTACCGACCCAGCGCTGTTTTTCCCACAGCGTTCGTGTCGTTGGTAACGCTAAACAAGCGAGTACTCTACCCTTAGTACCAATTTCTTCTTCTTATCTTCAATTTGAGTTGCCCTGCGCAGCACTAAGGGATCTGTTAGGGTATGCTAATAAGAAGTGTTCTGAATCACCGATAATACTAACAAGTTTCGTGTCCCCCTCAATGATTTGACTTGTTACACTTCTTTAGTGTGTATGGTTCCACAATGAGACTTTCAAAAATAAATTGGAAATAAAATGCCCGATTACAGCACCCTGAAGTCATTTTCGTTTGGAATTTAACGCATTATCAGTTTGTAAACAAAACAAAAATAAAATGCTGACACCACGTAATCCGGTTATTTTAATCTTAAGAATGGATTTATCTAAATCCCCATGAAAACAATTTCAGAGATTATCAGTTTTTTTTTCTTCTTTTAAAAGACCCCCTGTTTAATATTCCTTGTTGATCTTCAGAAGGCTTATGGCAAAACAATCACTTATTGTACCAGTCTCACCGTAAGGCTACTTTTCAAATCATAACACACACATCTAGTGATAAACGGTCCTTGTCTATCGCACAAAAAGCCGTCAACGAGATGGTCAACGAAGCGTGTGAAGACACCAGTAGATACAAGAGGCCAGTGAAACGCACTGTTACACTAGTACGCGTTACAATGAGATGAGGGACACCTCCTAATACCAAATACAAATATAATACCTAACACCAAAGCACTGTGTTACGTTCGACGAAAGTTACATTAGCCGCGTTTCGGACACCTGGTCGTCCTCTGCGCTTTGATCATTCTACGTCTATCTTAACTTTTGCTAGTTTAATTGCGCACAAATCATTCATTACGCGAAGAAACCTCTTCATTTTAACGAGAATCATCAACAAATGTTTGCAAAATCCCGTCAATTAACAAGCGTATTGCTGATTTAATTGTTTCTGCGGAAAAAAAAAAATGTGAGATATACAATTTTGTTTCCAGGTTGCGCATATAAAATTTAAAGTTTTGTTGGGAAATGTTACAGTGCATTTGTTTTATTTGTACATTCTGACCAGGGAAAGACGTCAACCTGGGTGGTCGTTTTTTGTGATTACAACACAGTGAGTCGACATCCCCTCAACCAATACCCCATTTTACGAGGTGGCGTGCTCACACAGCCATCAATAAAAACCACATCCACAATCACCCAACATGTACAGGCCGCCATTTTTACTGTTCTCGCAGCCAGGCCGTAAACACGTGAGTGACGCGACAAACAATGAGCCCGCGGAGTTAAAGGTGGAATTAGAAGACGGACTTCGAGTTGGTGGTAATAATTCTTCCACACCAAGGGCACAAAAGGTGTACTTTGCACATTCATCTCTGACAAGGAACGTGCCACTTGTCGAGGTCTTTCAGAGATTAAACGACTTTTTAACTTTTTATTTTTAACTCCTACCGAGGGTGAAGCTTTTATTTAAATAATCTGAAAAAAACTGTCCTTCACAATACAAAATCATAATCCATTTAATTGCCTTCTGAAGAGTTCCAATATGCAACGGAGCAAAAGTCAAACTTGTCATCCAATAAGTAGTGTGCACTCGAGTGGAGTAAGTCTGGTTACGAATTCGTGGGACGATTCGTCGGTGATACGCATTTGACAGGCGAGCCACCGGGATCGACGTGCCGCGGGGTTCACTCACCTGCTGACGAACATCGAACAAACACAGTAAGGGTAGGGTGTACGAGAACCAATCAAACCAGATCGCCACCCAAAACAGATATTTGCCTTAAGTTTGTAATCGGAATCTCGGTGGCATCGAAGCATGAACTTGACATCGCTCGTAACGCAGATAAGAACGATAAGGCCACAAGCGCACAGAAGTAGTGAGGATAAAGTGATGCATATATAGGTATAGTGTGAGGTGATGTGACTAACTCAACACGACGGTTCCAGTTCTTGCATGTTGTTGTTGTTATTTCCCTACAAAGTACATTTCACACTTCACATGCGAACGTATGAATTAATAAGTCTTTTTTTAATTAGAAAAAAATGTACACAGTAATTAAAATTATGCGATGTCGAACATCACCCCCGTGAGAATTAACATACACAACACAATCTTGGAATTAAACAAAATGCTCCCTTCTGGTCCCCTGTGTTAAAATCACAGAGGCGTTATGTCTCGTAATATGGCAGGTGTGAATCCTCATTGGGGCTCCGTAGATTATCGCCACGTTGAAACCACATTGTTCGTACACTTGAATTGAGGGGCAGCCACTTAATTACATGGTAGGTCTCGCCACTTATCAAGTACAAAGTTTGATGTAAAGTGGCGTTTCTCACGTGTTATTGCCTGGTGGAGAGTTTTTTTTTTTTTTTTACACCTTCAGACTTCTTTTTTTGATGTGACAAGGGAGTGGGGATATATATGTCTTGATATACGGCAAACATCCGATGTGCTGCATACAAAGGTGTGTTCATCGCTACTTTCCTGATTTCACCCCACGATAAAGGAACGGAGTCACGGAGAAGAGACTGGCTGACTGACTGACCTGTGATCACAGTCGCCGTCTTGTACGCGATAGTGGTTTAAAACACGCTTAAAGAACTGTCTGTTTCGCGCGCTCTATCGCCAACGGGTATTTACAGAGTTGAAGTCAGTATAATATATCTGTAACTGTCCCAACAAATCTATCTCGGTATCTGAGTCTGGTCTCGGTCTGAGGCCAATTATACATACGGCAATTAAACAGTCCGAGAAAAAAATCAAAAACACTGAGCGAGTTTGCACCGAGGTGTAAAACAAAGTGATATATTGGTGTAAATGTATGCATGTCTATTATCTCCATGACGTAATTTAAGGAGGTGACTCCATGATGATGTGGCAAATATCAATGAATGAAACACCCACACACTCTTAATTAAATCAATATTCGAGAGTACGACACAAATATAGACACTTGCAATGTATATCCCAATGATCAATAACTTTTTTTTCACACTGAGACAAAAAAAAGACAACCCAAGCATACATTCGACACCAGCAACCACATGCTTCTCATAGCTCCGCTGAATATTCGTGGTTGGACCCCCTAACTTCCCGATGTTCCTCACATACCATAGGTATTATAATAATACTAGCATTCACACATGATAAATGCAAATCACCAAACACACAGACAAATAACAACTTCTACAACGTATTTTACGAGGTGTATTTAGCACGCTGCCCATGTTTTGTTTTTTTTAAAAAAAAGTTATTTCAGTTTATTTTACACGCGTTGCATTTTGTATCAGGACCGAGCGGGTTTTTATTAAGTAGACGGCAAACATTCAAACTGTCATTACCAATCGCTCGCACTTGAAATGAAGGCGGGCAAATATATACACTACAATATGAAGTTCCCACCAGATAATAAGGTTTTTCGCTCTCTATAGCTATCCCCAAGTCACGAGCCGCACCGTAACCCGTCCTTGGATTTAGTGCTAGTTAACACGTTTACGCCATTCACAAATGGTGAATTATTTCATGTTTTCGTACTAAATTTCGCCGTTGTGCGACTTCTTATCGGTAATAAAACAACGTGCCAAACCAATCGATCGATTGATCGACAGACCAATTCTTATCTTGCTATCGATCTAGCCTCGACATATTTGTTTATACGCAGGGTATCTGTACGTTACACGAAACTATACAGTTTTTTTGTGTTTCTTTTTTTCTTTTTTTTTTTTTGCGGAGAGGATATCGACAAGCATACCCGTTATGAGGGTGATGGGGCGGCAACAACTTGAACAGCGCGTGCAAACATAGAAGAGAGATGTTTTCACTCGTTTCGCGGATTCGACTCGACTGTAGTGATCTTGGCAACTCTGCCACGTGAAAGGGCACCTTTGAAGGCACTTCTAATCACCACGGGGTTCGTAACGACCAATTTGTACACGTTGGGAAGGAAGCCGACTTAGTCAGAAAGCCATAAATTGGCACTGTGACCCCGCAATAAATTACTTTGCAGTGAGGCAGGGTTGGCGTAGTGGTTTATGAATAATGTTTTATTGACTGAATGATAGGTGTTCAGCGATTCTTAATCACTATCATTTAGAGCCCGATTTATATTTACTTCTCATACACCCTTGAAGTAAAAACACACATTGTTGACAATTTACCTGGCAGTACAAATCGTCAGTGCACATGCCGTCACCACACGAGAGAAAACGAATGGCTTAACATGCCAGCGCGCGTATAGCACTTGTGCGGTAGCGACATTAATTCACGAAAAAAATAACTTAATGTATCTGTCTCGTCGTGGAGGATGCGAAA